GCATCTACCACTTCATCTGGCAGTTCATTCCACATACGAACCACCCTCTGTATGAAAAAGATACATTGATCAAAATTAAAAGTGAAATCTTGTTTGTTTAAACATGAATATATTCCAATTTAATCATTTCAAGCCTCTGGATTTGCACTCACAGTAGCTCCCAAATTGTTGGAATCGTATTAGAGATAGATAACTTTTAAAATGAGATTTGAATTCCCTGTGACTGATTTTAAGAAACTGCGCAAAGATTCAAGCTTTAAGTCTTTTGTTACAAGAAACAAACTCAAATCAATATCATTTATAACATTATTTATAATCAATACTCTAATTTACAGAACAAGTATTCATTCTTGGATTAAAAATCATGAAGAATATTCCTATGCCATGTTTATACCTTAAATCACTCTCTTAATAGAGATGTAGTCTTATATTCTTAAAGTTAACATGCTCTTCTTGTTACATGAGGAACATCTTTCACAGACCAGATTAAAAAAAACACTTCCTTCAATTCTCCGAGCATTCTCAAATGGACATCCAGTAGCAAGACACTATCTGACAACATTTCGGTTTGTCAAACTCGACAAAGTCAATTTCTTTAAATGGAGAATCCATTCTCAAAACATTAGCTTCTTGTATCTTCACCCAGCAGTACCTTTCTTCCTGTTTCCAAGGTACCTGACTATGACTGGCTGAGATTCTCTAAGTCTGCACAAAGCATGACCAGCTACTTCTTTCACTGTTTAGATGGGAAAGTTGGCAGTGGGTCTCGATAGAAAGTGACCAAGGACATCAGTCCCCATGGCAAACACATCACATTAGCTTGTAACCACTGAACTAGTAGGAGGTCATTTGCTGCATTTTACCTTGAATTAAATAGGAAGATTAAAATATAAAGGCCTTCTAAAACCTCACATTAATAATTTCTGTTACTGGCCACAATTGTAGTGGCCATTTCAAACTTAACCAGAAGACTACATTTAACTTGGAGCTGGTGAAGCTTTATAGGATTTGCCTGCAGCTTTGGGGAAGGCCTGATTTTGAATTTTCATTTTCAAAAATCTGACAACTGGAAGATGGGCTTTGAAATGTGAAGAAAACATTTCCATAAAAGTTATTATTTTTAAGACATTCTCTAAATTAGATTGGAATAGCCTTCTTTTCAACCACCACCCTAATTCTACAAAGATCTGGTGAAGGGTCTAGGCCCGAAACGTCAGCCTTCCTGCTCCTATGATGCTGCTTGGCCTGCTGTGTTCATCCAGCTCTGCATTTTGTTATCTCAGATTCTCCAGCATCTGAAGTTCCTACTATCTCTGATTCAAATTTCATGTAGGGTTGTTGAAGCATTGAGTTATTAATTTGCAATTGAGCTGAAGGAACTGAACCTGCATTTGGTTTGGATTCATTTTGAAGATTGCGTACGTATTCCTCAAACAAGTCAACTACATGATTAGAATAAAACATGCCTAATCAGTTACCATGAATAACAATAGTGACCACAGTATTGTACATAATAAGAATCACATAGAGATCACAATTCCTAGTGTATCCAGATTTTCTAACCATTAACAATGAATAGAAAAATCCAGCTTCTGAGGTGATATATTTATATGTAGTTTAAATCTGCATTACCAATGTATTGATAGTTCAAAATCACAGCTACTCATAACCAGTCTGCCACCTAATGGTTAAAGGCTTCAGAGCCATTTCCCATAACTCAAACTTAAAAACATTTTGTTAACTATGACCGTATGAATTTGGAGTCTGGTGTCTTGTGAAATATTGTCAATTTCTCTTTCAGCTTCTTGAAAATTTAGTAGCAAACTGGAATGGTTTGGAAAGAATTAAACAGTGGTAATTAAACAAATTAATTGTGTGAAAGGAAATACTGTAAAAAAGACTCTTTCTGAAACATTTAAAACCCAGCTGTTGTGCATTATTGCATTGCAAGTTTGTCTTTGTTATGTGCATTTATACAATGTTTAATTTGTTTGATGTTCAGAAAAATATATCTGACTGTGTCTAGACACTGAACCATAAACTAAAGTTTACAGTTCTTATGCTTTGAGCATAATCACTTTGTTGTGGTGAGAATTTATCATTTAATCTGGCATTGTTTCCATAGTTTGGTTTCTTTGATCGAGCTCGCCCACCTCAAGATGACATGACGGATCGAGAACAACTTCACCCAGAAAAGACTACAGACGCCTGAGGACTGACAATAGCTGCCTAAATCCACTAACCAGCTACTCTAAAGATGTGTTCACACCACTGAAAATTACTTCCTTCTATTTGCTTTTGCAGAAAATGAAGAAGAAAAAAAATGAACTTTGCGCAAAACAAATTAGCAGAGAAAGTGCCATTGTTGACTATGCAATCACCTTCAAGCTACTTTACAGCGAACATTCTGCCAGGATAACGTTACTGAATGCCTCAATACTGTATTGCAGTACTGAGTGAGATTGTTATTTTTCAGTTACACTGTTAATCTTGAAGTATACTTTTTAAGTGCAAGTGCTGTGCACTTTGTAAATTGGACAAAATTGTGTCTGATTCCAAACAATTAGATAAAGTCTTTGTCGATAGCCAGAAACCTTTAAAATAGTATTAGTCGTATGAGTGCAGAGTTTTAAATTGGCACTACCGTTTATCATGAATTACGTATTGCCTTCCTTTTTGGGCAACTCCTTTGAAATACAAAGGGTCGGAAGGACCTTGACCGCTTGTAAAGCAATCATGAGTTGATTGTTTTTTGTTGAGTTGTTAATTAAGGTAGTATTAAAGGATAAGGGATTTCAGTGAAAAACAAAAGTGTCTGTGAACAAATTATTTTCTTTTAAATCAGAACAAACAGTCTGAGCAAAAAGGAGGTAATTGCAACATTAATCATTAAATGTTGTCCTTCATTGGGTGGTTTTACCAAGGGATCTGCACTCAATATCCAGGCATTTTCATGTGAAGCAATTTGAAGCATAATGTCACCCTACACTGGGAGTGGGAATTACAGATTTTTAAACGTGCAATATTTTCTATATATATTTATATGTTTCTGAAGCATGTTTACACTGGGATTTAGCCATATGTGGAATTTACATAAAGGTTTTTCTATCAGTTTTTTCTATGATTTATGGTTGTAATAATCTTACAACCAAACAAAATTTTAAAGAGGAATTGCATAACCTCTGTTCAGTGATCAGCAGTCAGCTTTCATTTGTATCATAGTTTTTCATTTTACACAAGTTGCAGATATTTACAAAAATTATTCTGCTTCTGTATAAAAGCTAAATCTATATGTTATGTACCACTTTGGAATATTTCCTGTTTAAAAATATCCACTCTCACATTGGATTCAATTGTACAACGGACGTATATTGCAAATGTATAATTGTGTCAGTATGGCTAATAGCAAGAAGCTTTCGTTAGACTCGACAATGCAGGATCACTTGTTACTGATCAGGTTGTAAATTTTTGTGAAATTTGGAGCAAGGTATCCAATTCTCCCAATGTTCCAATTTAAAATTTACTTATATGTATATTTGATAAACCCATGTGGTATACTTTTTGTTATCCAGATCCAATAAAACTGAACAGTTAACACTGGAATGTGTGTTTACCTTAATTTCAAAATGGATATATTGTTGATGAAAAACAGTGTGAGCTTCACTCTATACCAGATTTGTGAAATACTTGTAAATACTGTGAGTTCTGCCCTGAAACATTGAGCCTTTTCCCCTTTTCTTGGTGTTTCCAAAAATATTATTGGATACCTCTGACTGGATGCTCCTGTACTCTTCATGGCCTCTAGAATTTCAAAATTCCCCTCATCCTTTTTTTTGTTTCAGGTATTCCTCTCTGCTCTTTGGTCACTATTATTGTTTTATTGGTCAGGGGCACGCATAGAGCAGGTGAGGTGGACAACATTGTGCATCAAAAGGGTCAATGACATAGGCAGCAAATTTTTTCAGATCCTAGGATATTCCGAGTGCTGCCAAATCATGCTAGTGACCGTGATAATCCTATTGTCATATAGTCATACAGTCATACGGCACGGAAACAACTTCCAACTCATTCATTCCAACTCGACCAGGTTTCCCAAACTAAACTAGTCCCATTTGCCTCCGTTTGGCCTCCAAACCTTTCCTATCCATATACCTGTCCAAATGTCTTTTAAATGATGTAACTGCACCTGCATCTATCACTTTCTCTGGTAATTCATTCCACCATCCTCTTGTGTGAAAAAGTCACCCCCACAGGTCCTTTTTAAATCTGTCCCTTCTCATCTTAAACCAATGCCCTCTAGTTTTGAACTCCGCTACCCTAGGGAAAAAATCTTTGCTATTCACCTTATCTGTGCCCCTCATGTTTTTGTAAACCTCTATAAGGTCACCCCTCAACCTCCTATAATGCAGGGAAGAGTCTCAGCCTCTCCTGATAACTCATACCCTCCAGTCCTGGTAACATCTTTGTAAATCTTTTCTGCATTGTCTCCAATTTAATTACATCCTTCCTATAGCAGGGCAACCAGAACTGTACTCAGTCCAGTACAACACTCCCCAGGGCCCTACAACTAACTGTATAAGTCCTGACCTGGTTTGTCTTACCAAACTGCAACACCTCACATTTATCTAAATTAAACTCCATCTGCCATTTCTCAACCCATTGGCCCAGCTGATCAAGATCCCATTGTACTCTTACATAAACCTTCTTCATTATCCACTATACCTCCAATTTTGGTGTCTTCTGCAAATTTACTAACCAAGCTTCCCATACAGGTAATTCTGCTACAATGCGTGATTTGTTAATGCGAATTGACTGTAACGCGATTGATCAATAGTGGACACTGTTTGATGCTGTACAGATATACCGATTTTCTTTAGCAATTTCCCTATAATGTGATTTTCTATAGCACGAGGTCGCACAAGAATGCAACAATCATGTTATAGGAAAACTACCTGTATTCTCATCCAAATCATTTATATAAATGGCAAATAACAGTGGACCCAGCACTGATCCCTGCGGAACACTGCTGGTCACAGGCCTCCAGTCCAAAAAACAACCCTCTACCACCATCCTCTGTCTTCTAGCATCAAGCCAATTTTATATCCAATTGGCTGGGTCTCCCTGGATCCTATGTGATCTAACCTAACTAGTCTACCATGTGGTACCTTGTCAAAAGCCTTGCTAAAGTCCATGTAGACACGATCTCCCATGCATAAAGCCATGCTGACAATCTCTAATCAGTCCTTGCCTCTCCAAATGCATATAAACCCTGTCTCGCAGAATCTCCTCCAACAACTTAGGCATCAGGCTAACCAGCCTATACTTCACTGGCTTTTCCTTGCAGACTTTCTTAAATAAAAGCACAACATTAGCCACCCTCCAGTCTTCCAGCATCTCACCCATGGTTGCAGATGATACAAATATCTCTGCTAGGAACCCCGCAATTTCTTCCCTAGCTTCCCAAATGTCCTGGGATACACATGATCAGGTCCTGGGGATTTGTCTACCCAGAATTGAAAGTTACCAGATTGGTCATGAGTTGTTTTACCCACAATAACCCCTTGTATGAGTAATGTCGAATCTGACTTGATGAGGAATTCTAATGAAATGGGCAATAATTAATGTAGATGGACAGGACCTCCATACTAAAGTGAAACACATGAAACCCTTAAGGTTCTCTGCAATTAGAAACTTTTATAAATTTTATTTTAATTTGTAGTGAATAATCAGATTAAATAAACTTAATTTATAGACCAATTGTTAATAGCTTCCATGAATCTAGATGAAAAAGAATTTGAATCTATTCTGCAGTTAGCTCGACTCACATACCTCATGGACAAGAGGAACTATACCTAAGTTTCTGTTACATGTCTTAAATACCCGTATCCAGAAAGAACTAAGTTGCAAAAGAAATCAAAACAACTGAATACTATATAGTGTAGGGAGAAGGGTTTACAGCAGAATAGCATCATGCTGATACATTGCAGTATTTAAGGATTCCAGAAGGAATATTTGAAATAAAGTTTGAAATATTTTAAGAAGTTGAAAACTGAACCTATTTCAAATCGGTTTTTACATCAAGGTCATGGATTATGAAATAAAGGTCAGCATCCTGTTTGCCTTCACTTCCACATGCTGAACTTGTATGCTAGCATTTTGTGAGTTATGCATGAGGAATAATAAATGTACTGTAGCTTTCTGATGTCTTTCTCCATTTAAATCATATTCAACTCCTCTATTCTTCCTGCCAAAGTGCATAGCCTTACATTTTCCCACATCATATCCCATTTGCTCAGTTTTTTGCCCACTTGCTTAACAATTAAATAATCCTTTGCAGACTCTGTGTCATCCGCACCACTTGCTTTGCTACCTATTTTTGCTTTATCCACAAACTTGGCTCCAGTACATTCACTTTCCTCATCAAGTCATTAATATATATTGCAAATAAAATTGTGGCCCCAACACAGAGAAGTGTTGTATTGATTGGTTTGGGGTTTTAAAATTGCATTTTTTTTGGAAGAAGCTATTAACTGAGAAACAACAAGAACAAGTGAAAGTCAATGTCTAAATAATAAAGTAATATAAGTAAGAAAGTTAGGGTAAGGGAAGTAAAGTAAGCATAAGGGAAGTAGGTTAATAATATTTTTACATCAGCGTTTAAGAAAAAAAGAGAGTAACTAAGGGGCTTCTATCAGTCATGTACTCCTATTGTACTATGTGGCAAATTATTGAAGTTTTCAGTTGTCCCTGGTGACTATATGTGCAAGAGGTGTGTCCAGCTACAGTGACTTGCTAACTGTATTTCGGAGCTGGAACTGCGAGTGAATTCATTGCGAAGCACCTGCAATGCAGAGCACCTCATGGATTGCACATTCAGTGGTCACACAACAAGTGAAGATTGAACAGGCAGAAAGAGTATGGGTGGCCCCCAGTCAGAGTAAAGGAAGGCAGGTAGTGCAGGAATCCCCTGTGGCCATCACCCTTTCTAATAGATATACCATTTTGAATACTGTTGCGGGAGATGACTGTGCAGGGGAAAGGAGTGGCAGCACACTTCATGGTCCCTTAGGGAAGTCTGCTGCAGAAAGGGAGAGGGAGAACAATGGGGCTTTAGTGGTAGGCCTTGGATTATAAAGAGAACAGACAGACATTACTGTGTCTGCAAAAGAGACTCCAGAATGGTATGTTGCCTCCCTGGTACCAGGGTCAGGGATGTCAGTAAACAGCTACAAGGCATTCTGAAGAGGAAGTGCAAACGAACAGAGATCATGATACACGTTGCTACCATTGACATAGTGGAAAAGAAATGAGTTCTTGCAAGTAGAGTTTAGGGAGCTAGGAAGTAGTTTAAAAGCAGTACCCAAAAGGTATAAACCTAGTAATCCTAATTACTTCTGGTGCCATGTGCTAGAGAGTATAGAAATAGGAGGTTAGTCCGGATGAATGTGTGGCTGGACAGATGGTACAGGAGGGAGGGATTTCTGGGACATTGGACTGTTTTGCGACCTGTACAAGGTGGACAGATTGCACCTGAACTTCCTTCAGCATCCTTGTGGGGAGGTTTGGTCATGCTGTTGGGGAGGTTTTAAACTAAATTAGCAGTGGGTGGGATCCAGAAAGAATGTTCAACAGTGGGAGATGAATGACCACAGTCAGAAGAGACAGCAAGTGAGTCAAGAAGGCTAGAAATTATAGGCCATTTAAGTCACAGGGAATTTGACAAGGTTGGATGGTATACAAGAAGTCTGACAAACAAGGCAGATGAGTGGAAAGCACAAATTCAATGATGTCATTGCTGTCTCTGAGACATTGTTGAAAGAGGGCAGGATTAGCAGCTCGATATTCCACAATAGGGGATCTTCAGGCAAGACAGAGAAGGAGGTTAAAAAGGAAGGAGTGTTACAATATTGATCAGGGAATCAATTACAGCAGTAAGGAGGGATAGCATCTTAGAATGAAAGCCACATAGGTAAAAGCTAAAAACCAAAAAAGAGCAATCACATTGCTGGAAATGTATGACAGGCCCCTTAACAGTCCAATGGGAATAGAATAACAGACATGTAGGCAAATTTCAGGAAGTGTATAAGTAATAGGGGACTTCAACTTCAACTTCCCCAACATTATCTGAGGTAGTCACAGTGTGAAAGGTTTAGTGCGAGCAGAATTCTTAAACTGTATCCAGGAGAGCTTTTTAAACTATTATTTAGAAGGCCCTACAAGACAGGGAGTGGTCCTGGACTTAATTTTAGGTAATGAAGCCAGGCAAGTGGCTGAAGTATCAGTGGGTTTATCAGAATCTAAAAATCTTGTTAGATTCAAGATTGTGATGGAAGAGGACAAGGATGGGCCTGAATTCAAAGTTCTAAAATGGAGGAGGGCAAATTTTAGTCAGATCAGATACAATTTGGGAGCAGACACCTTTAGGCAAATGTCAGAGCATTGGGACACATTCAAGAAAGAAATAGGGAGAGTAGGGGGCTAACGTTCCAATAAAGATAAAGGGTTGGACCAACAAATTCAGCGAACCATGGATGTCGACGGATGTATATGATTGGATAGAGAAAAAGGAAGGCATTTGACAGACACCAAGGACTCAAAATGGC